TTGATGACGAGGGCATATAAAGTTGAAGCTACGTCATCTTCACAATTAGTGCCAGGGGCATGGACGCTAGACAGGCGATTAATTAATAACGTTGCAAATACCGACTCAAACCTTTCGGGTGTAGGGTTGGTGTTGCGACAACCATGACTCCTGACTGAACCGAAAAAATTTTCTAGTGGATCTTGATTTAGGTGCCGCATCCAAATTGAGTTCACCTCATATTTTTTACCTATAATATTAATCAATGTCTCAATGCCATCTAGCGTCCATATCCAATTGCTTAATGTTGGAACATATTCAATTTTATCCCCTTTAATGAAATTCATTTCTTTTAACATTTCTTTTGATTCCTGCCAAATTTTTTTGTGAACAGATGTATGCGTAACAGGTTGTAGAGCCGGCTTTGCATATCGGTATTTTTTTTTGTAGCTGCCATTCATGGTATCAAATAATGTGTCAAAAAATAGCAAAATGTAAGCTGTGTCCTTACATTCCTGAGGGATAACATCATTATCTGAAACAAAATATAAATTATCAAAATCAATACTTTATCTTTCGTCTAAAAAAATCTAAGAACCGGTACGTTTATTAAACTAGAAAGAAAGATTTAAAAATTTTGATGTTTTATTATTGGGAGTGCTTTAAATCTATAACGTATTGAACTGAATACATAGTACCCATAACTCACTAATATTAGAACTGATATAACAAATAAATATTTAATCTGGTGTCAAGAGATTTCAAGATTACAACTCTTTAAGCTTGAGAGAATTTATTTATTTTCTTTTTAAAATATTTTGTCCTAAGTATTACATGTTTCTAGGAAACAATCATTCAATTTGTGACAAGCTGGTACCTAATAGGCCAAAAGAATATCAAAATGTAAGTAGTTTATTCTCATTAAATAATTGTTATTACTATTATTCTATCTATATTGTCACGCATTTTTCCTGGCGGGGAAGGCAGATACCACTTCTTTCCATTCTTTACGATCCTGACATACTTTTCTCGCCTCCTCCACACGAATCGACCTTTTCATTGAAGAACGCCGCGGTTTAGTGTACTTTTGACTTGGCCTTTCTTTAATACGTCCGCGATTTGGTCGTGGTACATTCGTAGGTCTTCCCCTTCCAGTATGCCCTGTCACACTTGCCTTATATATCTCCTTTCACTCATCCTTTCAATGTGGCCAAACCATTTAAACATCCCTTTTTCAATCTTTGTCAAAGAAGATATTTCGTTCATGCCACATCACTCTTTTATCACACTGTTAAAAACTCTGTCACTCATGACCTAATTTCCCTTTTTTGTCAATGCATGCATCTAACTAAATAACATTAATACATACCAGCTAGAAATCCCATATGAGAGGCTACCGTCTGACTAAAAATTTGTGTTGCATATTTCACTTTCATTTTGCTAATTTTGGCTGGCTTTACATGGTTCTCTGTAAGTTTGGGCATCAATCTTATCCCTTCGAATGCTGGACACTTATCATAAAGACATTCTATATGAGACCATTTGGCAATTCTTGTTTCCTTTTCTTTTTTGTACATTAAATTTTTCACCAGCAAATTATTTCGCACACACTTAATCAAATGGGGTGGATCATAAAGAGGTACGATTTCAGACGAGTCTATTAAAAATATATTATTTTTTGGCTCTTCTCCTCTAGCTAGCCACATACCTCTCGACTCTTGTATTAAATATTTTATTGCATTTCTATTGCCAGAGCCTTGGTCACAGACTGTCGCCACCACTGTAAAACCTGCTTCCGATATTTGTTTTATAAATAACTTTATTTGTTTGGCCAACTCGGGACCTTTTGTTGCTGACTGCGAAAATGTGTAGCCAATAGGCTGCTTATAATTTTTGACCAAGCCCCGAATCATAAATACCTGGGCATGGTCAGCAAATTCTTTAGTGATTTCCTCACCATTATTTACAAAGCCAATAATTTTATCTAATCTTTCATTGTATGTGATGTTAGCTTTCAATGCCATTTCATCAAATAATAAAACACAAAGTTTGTCAGATGGCTTCATATGTTGGGCCTTTTTTGCCATCTGTGAAAAAATTTTTTTATTTATACCTGGCTGTATATTGGCTGCAGATATTAGTTTTATTAATGTTGGAGGAGCTGGTAGCACAAAGATTTTTCTTAAAAACCTATATCCTTTAGGGCTTTGTTTTAATAGTGATAAAGCCACAATTTTTTCCTCTAATGTGAATCGTCTCCCTTTACCCTTCTTTTTCGTTTCTCGTAATTGCAGCATGGTGAGAATTTTCGCATTTTTGGGGAGATTTTCCAAGGCTTTTAGAGCTGAAGAGTTTGCCATAATATTTTTTGCGGTATTAATAGCTGCTGCCTGCTTCTTTATTTTATTTTCACATTTTCTCAACTTAGCTCTAGTGGCAATGAGTTTTCTGTATAATTTTAGTTCAGCAAGTGACTTGCTTTGTATTTTGAAAGTTGTTTTTGTATCTAAACGAAAAAAAAAAAGAATTAAAGCAGTAAGTTAAAGCTTGATTTTTGTGAGAATATTTTGAGTACTGTGAAATAGAGTATGAATGAAATGATTATTCCTTTTATTGAACATTTGTTAAATTTTAAACTATGTTTGTATTATATAACAGAGATTTATAAGTTATAAAATACCTTTTGAAGTAGATGGTATACACTCAATGACATTTTCTTCGGAGCCCAACAGTGTTGTTCTTGATTTAATTTTGTCTGAAAGTATTATATATATCATAATTAATCTTAATTTAGAATGTTTCAAAAAGCTTGTTATAAAAAGTTTACTTACGACTAGATGTTGATTGTTCTTTAGTTAAGGAAAATAATTCCTTAGTATGATCAATTGCTATTGTATGTTCATCTGAAAAAAAAATCCATAGTATATTTATTTACATAAGAACTTAATTTGGAATAGCTCACCATTTGTTATTAAAATAAATTTTATTTTATCACATGGCAGTTGCAATAGCAGTTAAATATAAACTAAAAACATTAAACAATTATAAGCCAGTGTTTATCTAGTGTAAATTGAACCTCAAAAACTTCATTACAGCTACCCCGTGACTGACCGTGATTGTAATCATTTCAGCACTAGTACTGGTGTTGAAAATACTGATTTTCTAACCCACCTATAGACCCTGTGTAAACTTTATCCATAACCATATTACTAAAATATTATCCTAATACAAATTGTTAAGTTAGTCATTTTAGTGCAATTGAAATTAATCTACATTACAATTAAATGAAACAGCCTTTAAATGGTTTCATTGTCTTTTTTCAATAAATAGCTTAATCTTATGTGAACACTGAACCTGTAAAGGGTCTGAAACTTCAATACAAACATGATGAAACCATTTAAAAGATGTTTCATTTATGAATAGAGCGCATGAAATTATAAGAAATCAATACATTACAATTAAATACCTTTTGAAGTGGATGGTAGACTTTCAATTATATTTTCTGTAGAGCTCAATGGTCGTTTTCTTGACTGACACTTATCTGAAAATAATAATGTACTTCGTTTTGATTCAGAAATTGAAATTCAAGAATTAGCATAAAATAATTTACTTACAACTAGATGTTGATTGGCCGTCAGATTTATTTTCCTTTGATTGCTCAACATCTGGTATGTGTTTAACTGAAAACAAAAGTCTCTTGAAAAATTAAGAACATACAAACTTATTATGGATAACGAGTTTGAAATAGCAATCAATCTCAATCGAAATTAATGGAATGAGGAAAAGATAAATATGTAATTCCTAAAGTTTAGATAATATATCGTTAAAAAAATTACCTGGCACATTCAGAGTTGGAATTGCAATGTTAGAAAGCCTATTGTTCCGACAGTGAAATTTTTTCTCAAAATGTGCATGACACACACGACGATATTTATAAACAAATTCGTCAGGTAAATCTAGTATATGTCCACCCACAGACGATCTCCAAGATTCGAAACGCTCTGTTTCTTGTTTTGGATGAGGAAACAAGTGGAGTACAGGACATGAAACTGCAAGAGAGAAATACAATTATGTAGAAATAAGCACGGAGACAATGTTTTAGCAATAGAATCTTTAAATGGAATTCATTTACGAACCACCACGAGCCTCAGAGCACCCAGGTACACAACACATTTTGTCAGATGGCATTATGGAAGTGATAAAGAGTCCTATCTCACAATAAATAAATCAATTTCACAATCAAATATTGTAGCACTACCGGAGGAGAGAACTCGACTCAACGGATTTACACAGAAGCACGAATTTAAGACTTAAAAACAGCAGAAACGCAATGTTCACAGCTCAGAAACCATGACATTAAATTGTAATCTTTGACATTTTAAATAAAACGTTTTTGGTAGTGTTTTTTTTATATATTTGTAGTGTTACTCTATTCAAACGTGTTTAATACCATTTTTCAAATATTGTACCTTCATACGATAACGATTTCATAAAAATAAAGGTAGTTTTATTTGTGTCAAATTTATCGATATTAAAGTTTTCTGTAATTCTTTAGAAGAAAAGATTAAATGGAAGTTCTGTAAGAGCTAAAATTGTACCAATTAGAAAAAAAAATTAAAGAAGGGCTACATTGTAGCCCATAATAATGAAACTAAACTAAAAAGGTCATTGTTAGTAAAGTTTATGAGTGTTCTTTTGTGACAACTCAATTAAATAATATAATAGCGATACTATTGCCATCTATACGCGTGAGTGGTCAACTAATGTCCATATTATGAGACTAAATTAAAAAATAACATATTATATTCAAACGTATGCGGATATCGATCAATTTAAATTAACCATCTTATTTCGTTGTAGAACCTAATACTTTGTTCTGAGTTTAACGTCCCTGTCTGATACCTACTAAGTCTGTGAAGCCATAGTTGTATTTTATTTTAATTCTTGTTTACTTTCACCTTTCACAGTAAGTATTTATTTACATTCAATTAGTGTTCTTTGAAATGCTGAATTCAAACTCAATTCAAAGATAATGATTGACTGATTGATCAAAGTCAGATTATGTAAAGGTCTCTAAAATGTGAAACTACTGAAATATATTTTTATAAACAAACGCATGATAATACGGTACTGAAGTATGTACTATTTAAATTTTTTTTCAGATATGTCTGAAGCGGGCATGTTTACTAGTAGCACAGCCTTCTGTGTAAGATGTGGATCAATTTTACCACTCCTTCAGAGATTTGGATCGGTGAAGTGTTATGGCTGTAAAGTTTTCTATGATGCTTCAAGTAAGAGTTTTTGTTACTGTTGATATTTAAAAAAAAAACTTGCAAAATGCTTTATTTATATAATTTTAAAATTGTAAACATTGTCAGTTTATAATTCGTCAATAATAAACCTTGGTTGGTTTAGGTTAGGTTAGATTATAATAAATCTAGTAATGTTGTAATGTTCATTATATTGTAACCATAGTAATTTCAAGAAAGAGAATCTACCATAATATCGGGGTGAAATCACTTCGAGGCTTGAATTTGTATAGAGTGTTTTTGTCTGACTAGCAGTAGTTCCATTAACACAACACGGTATCTCTGAAACTTAATCGTAGGCATGCTGTTTCTTCTGCATTATTTTTGAGATATTAATGGACAATTCATTTATTAAATAAAAAAGTAATAAACAAGCCTATTGATGTTTTCCAAAACCATACATATCTACAAATGTTACATATCACATACTTTTGTAACTTCACATTCTCTGATAGTTCTAGTATTATAAAGTTATAAAATAATATTTCTTTCTTTTCAGATTATAACAATCTTAAATTTGAATACACTGTAAATTTTAATGCAGTGTCTGTCACAAGTAATAAGGCTATAATTAACTTGGATAATCCAGAAGGCCCTGTTGTTGAAAGGAAATGTCCAAAATGTGGCAATGATAGGATGTCATATGCTACATTGCAGTTGCGGTCAGCTGATGAAGGGCAGACAGTGTTCTATACATGTACATCTTGCAGGTTAGTATATTTCGTACTACCTATATAAATATACTGGATGACCCAGTGGACTTCATATCACCTTTCACCGTTTAAACCTTCTTTGGAGTAACATAATCAGCTTAATTAGTCCAGCCGTTAATGAGTTTTAGTGAGGCAAATGCATGGCAATTGATGTTATATATTTAGATACATATAGATAAGTTGTGATGTTTCTTCAGTAGCTATGTAGCAGGTTAGGGTTTGAAAATATACTATAGTCATCATAAATAGCAAAATGTAAGAAACAAAAACCAAAGGAGTCTTAATAGTTGAATTATTATTGCACAAAAGTAATAGATTTATGATTTTTAAACACATTATGAAATCATAATAAAAAGTGATGTATAAAATAAAGTTTGATTTAGGTATCAATGTAAAATACTCTTCTATGAAATTGTAATACAAAGTGATATATAAAATAAATATTGACTTTATGTATCAATGTAAAATGACAAAACAACAAGATTTATTTAGTCATATGTTACTGTTTATTGTATGCAACTTTTCAAGAGATTTACTTTAATACAATGCACTACAGCTGTACATAGATAGATAGATAAATTCTTTATTTGCATCATGCATACACGAAATTTTACAGTTTGAATTTTACAAAATAATCCATAAATTATTAAGAAAGAGAAATAATTAATAGTAGAGAACAAGATATTACTAAAACTGGACAATCAAACAGTATGTGTACTGCAGCGATGCAAATGGGCGAAAACTCAGTGAGTATTTATTTATTTAACAAACTTTATTGTACATTAAATTGGTACAAGAGGCGGACTTAATGCTAATGGCATTCTCTACCAGTCAACCTTTGGGATACAGAAATACACGATGGTGGCATAAAGTTAACTTATAAATATACTACTTAAACTACACTTTAGAAGAATTTATATACAATTACATAAACATAAATAAATATTATACTACACATAAACATAAGTACATATCGACAGTGGAAAGGCAAAATTGCTAACACGCTACAATGGCACTTTTGGGAAATGAATTCTAAAGTTTTTCTTTTTACAAATAAATTTATAAATTCTTTGTTTTTAATCTAATGAAGTTCATTTTTATATATAATGATAAGTGATTTTTTATCTAAATTTAGAATATCTTTGCAGATTAATAACTATTTTAACAAGTGAAATACATGTCGCTTTAGCAAAAACGTCTCGGCTTACTACTTACTATGGTTCTGGAAAAAATGCTTAAGTGATATAGATGAATCAGGTCAATCGAGCCGAAATTGCTAATGGAGAATTACAACTTATTATTGAAAACTCAATAATTTCTAAGCAGCAATATATACATACAATGTCGGCAGCAAATATAGCTAACCTTATGAACTTAATAAATTGTAGTGACGCAAAAAAACTTAAAGGCCTTTTACTTCGAATAATACAATAACAAAAGATCTAAATGTATTAACTAAGTAGCAATTTTGAATGGTAAAAAATGCTATTAACAATAAATAACAAAAATAAAAACTAGTATTGCAAATCAACATAAGTATATTTATTCAATTAAGTTTTTTGTAGTTACAAAAATATTGGAACAAAACAAATCGTAAATCAGATAATTTGGTATCAGTTACATTGTCGCATTAAATAATCTTTATTCAGATTTTTTTAGGAATTTTATGAACTAAAAATAATCACAATCTTTGCATAATTAAGTTAACAAAAAATAATATAACTTTCATTCATAACAATCACTGATAAATTATTTTCTTACACATTAATGAACCATCGAATGACATCTTATTTCAACAAATATTCATTATTGAATAAAATTACAACAGAAAATTTAATGAAAATGCTAGCCTCAAGATATCAATAATTAATAAACAAATCAATGATAATTATTTAAATAACTCTAAAATTTTAATTTAGTCTTCCACAGTATCTTCTACGTCTGTATCAGGTAGACAGTCTTGTATATTGGCAGCTTGCGGTAAAGATTCGAATTCTGGAATATACATTGCAGGAATAGTTCTATTCTTACATAATTTTTCCAAATCATTATATTTCTTTTTGGAAATAGGGAGTCTGGTTTTATAAATTTTTTTGGGCATGAGGTCGATTTTTCCGATAATATCGATATACTCTGATTTTGCTTTATCACACATAGAGTATTTGACCTCCATGCGAGTGAGATTATTTTTTTAAAGGTAGCAATCCGAATCTTACTTATTTTACCCGTAAGGTTGCCTTTGAAGTATTTTTCGGATACTGTGTCCCATCCTTCGAAATCTTTGTAACATAAAACTTCAACTTCGTAGGGTTTTGGGGCTTTTCGTGCTAGGGAACAGACAGTCGGCCATTGGGATGGTGCCCATATGATGGTATTTGTAACACTTTTTTCAATGACCGAATGCATTGAGTCTACCAGCATGAAGGTGTGCCCAGGTAGAAGATAGTTAATCTGTATTGTCATAATATTTTTACATAGATTGAGAATTTTGGAAATGTAGGCCAAAATTTGGTTTTGTTTTGCCCTGGGCAAGCATCACAATATAGTAGTAAATGTTTTATAGTTTTTTTCTGATTTTTTTTTGCCTTCTTCATATGTTTCCTTGCCTGTTTTACTTTCATTATCATCATTTTTTTCCAAAACGCCGTTTGTATCTTCTTCAAGTTCAATCCTAATATAATTAACTTCACTTTGATCATTTTTATCATTAGAATGAATTTGCTGCAAGTAAACTTCAATCTCCTCTTCTCTAGAAAGCAAAATTACATTTTCGGTCAAAAGCTCGGGTTCCGAAGCAGGCGTAATCTGTGGTAATATTTGACCCGAAACGTTGCCATATTCAGACACTGTGAAATCAGGATTCGGCGTAGGCTGAAATGAAACATGGCATCCTCGAATTCCGGCTGCCGAAGTTCTGAAGTCAGTGTGAGCTGATCTGACATTGGGTCCGACGTACTATTACCAAAATCAGATTGATGACATTTGGGGACAAATGTAGACTCTGGCAACATCTGCTCTAAAGCGTCGTTTACCAAGTCTCTCTGCTCAAGCTGAAGAGCTGATGTCAATTGCTCTGAAGTGACACTTGCGCAGTCTGACTGCTGCAGCTCAGCAGCTGGCGCGGACTGATGGGCTAACTGATTTGATGCACCTTTCTCGAAGATTGTTGTTGAAGTTTAGGAGATAACATTGACTGAAATGTCAATTGGTCTGAACAGTCTTTAACTAAGGGATTATACAACTCAGAAGCTGTAGTGCAGTTTAGGTGTTCAGGTGTTGAATTTGGTTGCATCATTTGGATCGAGGCGTGGTCTGAATCAGATTTCACAAGTTCAACAGGAGAAGACTCCAGGTAAGGTATTATCGGGTTTGAAACATTACTTGTAATGTCGGGTTGATGGGGGTTACGAGATGGTGAGATCTGCACTGAAGTCACAACGTCAGCATCATCGTCTTGGATGGTATGAGTATGATCTTGTATACTTAAGTAGTCCATATGTGTTCGCATGACGTAACTTTGTTACATCGATTTTTTCTTTTTCAGAAGCCTGACTTTTTGTGTATTTTTTGAAATAGGCATTACGTTTACTTTCCATTATTCATAAAAAATCTAAAACAAACACACATTCCTTTAGTATTGTTATCGATTACATTAGAACATAGAATACGATACGAGGAGCTCGATGGCGCAGCGCCGCGGCGTGCGATCGTTGATGTAAAGCAACGTTCGCAACGACCGGTCACAGGATGGGTGACCAAAACTTTTCAATCTCGAGCTCCTCCGTGCTTCGGAAGGCACGTTCAGCCGTTGGTCCCGGTTGCATTAGCAGCCGTTATACTCTCCAACCCGCATTGGGCCCGCGTGGAGGGTTATGGCGCATCCTCCTTAACCATCCATAAGGTAGGCCTGTGCCCCTGCGGTGGGGACATAAAAAGGCTGATGACGACGATACGATAGGTTACGATCAATACGATACCTATTAGGTAGTATAAGTTTGATTTTCAAAAATATTAATATAAGTACCTAATGTTGACAGGTAATCAAAACTTATTTTGTTAAAATCTAATAAAAAAAAAAACAAATCAAAAAGCGTATTGCAAAATAATCTTATTAATTTTATATTATATATTTATTATCAAATTTTTATTATAGATACCTAAATAAAGTCGATTTGTAAACAAATTTTATAACTTATCGTGTACATACCTTTTTTTTCAGACACCAATCACTTTCAATCAATTTACAGCATTTATGGGATAACACCAACATAAACAAATAATTGTTTAGTTGTCTTAGCAATTTTATTTACTATTATGGTCACGCGATCACTCACCAAGCTAGCCCAATAGAAACTGATCACTACACTGATGTTACGAGTCAAAGATGCAAGGACTAGTTCTAACACGTTTCGACCTGAATAAGCGTTTAACCCGGGAAGCTATCAACATTATTACTAAACGTAATTCTAAATTTTGAATGTAGGTTTTTATTTTGCTAACTTCCAGATAAATAACTTGTTTTGATAGATTGGCGTTAATTTTTTACTAATAGAATGTGATGAGTAAATTATAAATAGGAAAATTTTGCTAAAGCGCCAACCGCTCTTATGTCGCGCGCAACAAATTTTGCTAATGTGATAAATCATTGCAATTCATCTTCAACAAAACTTACTAATAAGCAGTTATATATTAATGTGCGAAAAGGCTAAATTGCTATTGAACATTAGTCAATGAAATTATAGACAAGAAAAAGTGCGTATGTAATGAAAATAAACAGAACGACGGCAAGAAAAGTGTCATAACTACAATGTGGCAAAAAAATATACTACTGAAGCGCCATAACTTAAAAAACACTGAAATTATGGCGCTTTAGAAATACAAATCTGTGATTTTCCTTTACAAATGCGATTGCTAAAGCGCCAAGAAAGTCATCGGATTGATGTGAGACCCGCACCAATCGACGCAGAAAAAAAAATCCTATTCAAACATATATATAACTCATTTTGGCCTATTTGGCGCTTTAGCAGTTTTGCCTTTCCACTATCGATATACAAATACATAAATATAATACATATATGATGATGATCTTCATAAACGTTCCAGGAGAAAAGTGTGAGCTTTCCGTTTAAAGACGAATTTGTCGGGAGATTGTCTGATTGTGTCGGGGAGGCCATTCCACAGTCGTATGGCTTGCAGGGTGAAAGAGTCGGCCATAAAGCCAGAATGGAAAAGTGGAGTAGATAATGCAAGTGTATTAGCAGAACGCAGTTGTCTGTCATGAGAATCACAAAGGTATTGAAATTTACATTTAAGGTAATTTGGAGAATTAGGGTTAGAAAGTATGGAAAAGAGCATACAGAGTAGTCGTAGCTGTCTGCGCTGACGAATGGGAAGCCATTTTAGTTGAGACCGATAAGACGAAACATGATCATACTTGCGAAGGCAGAAAATAAAACGAATTGCATTGTTGACAAGGCGGTCCAACTTATTGAGAAGATCTTCATTTAAATCAGGGTAACAGACATCAGCATAGTCAATGATAGGAAGAATAAGGGAAGTGACGAGCGTGACCTTAGTTTTGATAGGAAGGAAATATCTGAAGCGATTAAGCGAGCGCAAAGAATAAGTAACCACACGACTGACCTCGGCAACCTGTGATGTCCATTTGAGCTCCGAATCAATATGAAGTCCAAGGTTTTTAACTGTAGAGCTGAAGGGTATTACAGAATTTACGTACACAACAGGTGGGAGCAGACCAGAATCAAGTTTAATAAGCTGTTTGGAGCTTCCAACAATAATTGCTTGGCATTTTGTAGGGTTCACCGAAATACCAAACTTAGTTGACCATGCACTGACATGAGAGAGATCCTTATTCAATTTGGAAATACCTGTTATAATTTCATCGGTCGTTGTTTGCACATATATTTGCAAATCATCTGCGTAGAAATGATAAGAGCAGCCGAGCGTGAAAGAGAGATGATTAATGAATATGGAAAAAAGTAGAGGAGAAAGAATTCCCCCCTGTGGGACACCAGCTGTCAGATCGTTCCAGGAAGACAATTCACGATCCTTACGTACTGCCTGCTGACGCCCACGAAGATAAGCTGAGAACCATTCCAATGTCAAGGACGAAAGATTAAGGGACTTCAGTACGGCCAGTAGAAGGTCATGGTCGACCATATTAAACGCGTTAGAGAAGTCAATGAGAACAATGATGGTGACCAGTTGTTTCTCCATGCCAGTTCTGACGTCCTCGGTAACTTTCAAGAGAGCAGTTGTAGTGCTGTGACCAACACGAAAACCAGATTGGAAAGGAGAGAGGATGGATACAGAGTGTATAAAGGAAGATAATTGCTCATGAGCAGCGGCTTCTAAGATCTTGGACAAGAAAGGAAGGATAGATATAGGCCTAAAGTTACTTAACAGTGTTGGAGATGAGGTTTTGGGAAGAGGGATGACATAAGCTTTACGCCAAAGTAGAGGAAAGTGAGCAACTTGGAAAGAGAAATTAACAATATGTGTTATAACATGAAGGACAATATCTAAAATGTTGATAATCATGTCTCTGCTCACATCATCACATCCTATGGCCTTTGACTTGATTGAGACTATGATTTTCCGTATAGCATCGGTTGACATTGGAGAAAAGGAAAAAGAATTAGAATGAGATTGGGCCTTGGAAGTAATTTCATTGATAGTGTTAGATTTGGTGAAAGAATCCATAGTGGAAATAGAAGAAAAATGATTATTAAAATCATTAAGAGAAAAGGGGTAAATCTGAGGTTGCGAAGAAGATTTACCCAAATCTAAGGAGCGAAGAAACTTCCATATATTAGCTGGAGAAGAATTTATGATATTGTCGTTGAAATATTGACGTTTAGCTGTTCTTACCATTCGGTTGCATCGATTACGTGCCCTCTTGTAGAGACTCCAATTCTCCTCCGACCTATCGTGCTTGAAAGTGCGGAATGCTCGATCCCTCCGTGTCATAGCCATACGGACTCCTCTACTGATCCATGGAGCTGGAGACCGCTTCAGTTTTACCGCCTTTAGTGGAGCATGTACATCATATAAGTTCAATATATATTTGTTAAAAAGAGATACTTTCTCATCGAGTAGCGGAGAATCAAACACGGAAGAAAAGTCAAGACTAGCAGCATCTTCTTTTAAGTTGTCAAGGTCGAGTCGAGCGAAATTACGCAAAGCACTAATTTTCAGTTTTGATAACAAATTTTTGATTGTTCGTCTCAGATAGATTGTTGAAAAATATTAAACTCATTTTTTTTTTGTAATCCTTAAAGTACAGCATTACAATTGAGTTAAAATTTCACATGACGTCACACTTTTGTACATTTTCTACAATACTGAAACATTGCGAGGCCACACTCCTTAACTTTGTTAGCTAAGCTTTTTCTTGTTAAATTGACATATAAAAAATTAACTTATCTAATATTTTTCTATTATCTGACTGACTTTTTTGTACCCAGAACTCGTTCCTATTGTCAACAAACCGTTTGAACTTAACTGTTCTGATTATAAGGTTGGAAATCAATCCCAAAAAAAAAACCTTAAACAAGAAATGTTGACTGTATATTCTAATAGATTTATATAATATATATTTTTTTATTTCTGTTTCAGGTACAAAGAAACTGAAAACTCATAGTCAGCAATTTATAAAATTAAGTTAATATTTTTTATTTGTTATGAAATTGTGTTAAATATTATAGGAATTTGTTTAATGCAAAGGGACTTTTATGATTCATTCTGAGACATACCTATTTCAAATAAACTCCTTATCCTTGGTTCTTGCTAATTGAAATAATTAAAGCATTTCATAGTGAAATTGAAAGACTTAAGGGGGGCGTTTCTTAAAGAATCGTCATTTTTGACCAATAAGTTTACTAACGCGTTTATTTCAAATGTAGCTTAGTTTTTACTTATTTCATATCAGAAAATTATATCTTAAAATAAAGTCAGGATAAAATTGTGAGACTGATAAATTGTTATTAAATAGTACTACTTGATTACAATTCGGACCCTAAAATGACGGTTTGCTATGTTTCTTTTTATCTACTATGAAATAATAATTATCTACTATGGAATAATATTCTTTTGTCGTAAGGGAAAAGGACACATTAACAATTACATTTAGATTTATTTCCACATTTACGAGTCAAATTATAAAAATGTTTGATTTTAATGCATCAATATTTAAAGTAGCTTTACTATTATCTCGAATTTTGACAGTTGTTATATAACCTTAAAACATTATTTACTATTATATATTGTTCTATTTTAAGCAAAAACTAATTTAAATCTTGACTAACGATGGGTAGACACGGCCTTTAAAAAAAACATGTGACAGGTCAATCAATGTATGGAAAGTGGACATGATTATTTTTTGAGTTCGGCATGCTAGGCGTGCTATCTAGAGACTATCTAGAGCTAAGAGGTAACAAAAGGTCTTTTAAATAACTCTGCGATGCAGCGCCCTCTCATCTTGGTCGCAACTTGGCCGTAGGCAAAACACTGGAGTTATGCCCCTAAAAGCCATAACAAAAAAAGACTAATACTGGTAGACTGATTAAATGAATTTAAGATGTAATTTTGCCACAGGCAAAAGAAACTCCTTAGGTACCGCTGGTCTGTAATTTTGTACTATTGCAAGATTTACTGCATCATCATCAGCCCTTTTACGTCCCCTCTAAATAGGTTCAGGCCCTCCATATGGATGTTTAAAGAGGTTAAGGCCATGACCTTCCGCGCTGGCCCAATGCGGATTGGAGGGTATTTAATGACTGCAAATGTAGCGGGGAACCGCGCAAAGCACTGAGTAGCTCCAGATAATTTTTTAGTTATCCATCCCGTGACTGACTCTTGCGAAAATTGCTTAACAACAACGATCACTGCATCACCGGAACTACGAGATTCACCCAAATATATATACAGATATATGTATAAAGGAAACTCTTTTAAATAATTTTTAAATAAAAACATGGCTGAAGGCCATATTAGTCATTGTTTTGTCTGTCTCTCTGTTTGTTCCCGATAATCTATGAAACGGCTGGACCGATTTTAACGGGAGTTTCACTGGCCGATAGCTTAAATGAGGCTTCCACGCGGACGAAGTAACAGGCACGGACATTATACAACATTACACAAATACGACTAAAAAAAATGTTAATGAATTAACACAAATAACAAATACTGGATATGTGCTCACCTGTTAGAGTTCTATAATACAATATTAGTCCTGTTGAATGTCCTGTAGGGAAATTCTGCTAAGGTTGGCATGATATGGAAAGTTCATAGCTCTTCAACTGCAACTCTTTATGTTACAGTTCTTGTTAGTGAATCACAAAATAATAAATATATCCGTCATCATTGATTTGAGGAAAAGACGTTGCACTTATAATGTTTGACTTCAGGTAGACTTCATAATGGCAAAAATGCAAGCACTAGAGGTTCTATTGAGGTGAGATTATTACCTATAAATTATCAAAATTGAGGCCTTGTTGATTCCGTCACGTTTTGTAAACCGAACACAGTAACAGGTGTACTCGTATATAAATAAATTGTAGCCTATATAATTCGCGTATGATGTAGTTTCATGTAGGTAAAAAATTGTTTAAAGCCGTGTGTGTAGTAGTTTAGGTAAGTGTTTAATGCAAACAAACTAACATCTTACTTCGTTTGTATCACTAGATGGCGCTAATAGTATTTTAAAATGTAGCTAACAAAAGTTAACATTTTTTAAGAACGTTGATATATTAATTAATATAAAAAAAGGGCAAAAACTGGTAATGTTCGTTTTATATATATCGGAGTAGCTGTTTTCCTGCGGTTTTGCACGCTTAAATGATAACATAAGTCTACGCGGTTGCGTTTAATATAGTTTTTCGTAGGTAAATTCCGTCCAGTAGTTAAGTAGCCCATTATATGCAAACATACAATCAAACATTTATTTTTTATAATACTAACTAATCCGATTCTTTTTTGTTTTAGTAAAAACGGTAATAAGATTTTTTCTTATTATTATTAATTAATGGCGTTTTCCTTGTGGATTTCGCCAGAATCCAGTGTTTCGCTCAATTTACTTCAAATTGTAGTATTATATAAATTCTGCTTTTTGTATTTTCGTAGTGAATTTTCGTACTTTGCTATTTTATTGACTAATCAAAAATGATCGCAGAGGGTGCTCGCACTCAGCATGCCTTACCGAGCTATTAGTAATATTACGTGATCTTAAAAGGTCTATCATTTTAAAAACGTCTTAGTCTCCTATGCTTTAGCACATTTATGCTTTGAAGTAGCATAACAACTATTATAAATACGGTAGCCGGAACTGTTGGCTTAGTAAGCTCGTTCTTTGGAAGCGTTACAATGTAAGCGTGAAGCTACTTGTGATCACTGAATCCGGGAGTACTTGTAAACTGCGACATATATTGAAAAAGGGAACGGATATTTAGTCTTACTAGTTCTTTAATTGGATTAGATTTTGGTGTGGCTGTTCGAAATATGATCCCTCTGCAAATAAAATATGATCCCTCCCTGACCACTTGACCGCGGTATTTCTATTATGAATACAAGTATGTAGAGATTTTTCTAAGTTGGGTTTCGGGCCTCAACTAGCTCAACGGTTTAAGCAGTCGTCCGGATTGCGAAAAGTTGTGTTCGAATTCCATCTCGGCGCATTTGGGCCTGGTGGATTTTTTAAACATTTTTCCCGAAAAAGACCTGAAGTTTTGTTTATTTGAATCGATTTTACTATTTCTTGTCGTGTATTACAAGTTATAAATGTAGATTTTAATATTATTTATGATATTTCATTTCGGTTTCATCAAAACACCATAAATCACAAAAAAAATGAAATAATTCATTATATCCGGATTTTAATCGGACAAAAAATTCGAAAACCGGATTAAAAAAATACTGATTTTGCATTTATCAAGATTTATTCTCGATCAGAAAAAAAAATGTTAATTCGGGCCTGTCAAGGTGGTGCCATCTCTGGGGGCCAATTCTTCTAAATAAATTCTGTTTAAATCGAATCGAAACCAAACGAAACTACAGTTTTTAGTGCTTTTTCTATTTTACTAAGTGACATACGATACAATTCCAACTACAATAGAACTGGAATTGTATCGTATGTCACTTTGTAGAATAGGAAAACCATTAAAAACTGTAGTTTCGTTCGGTTTCGATCCGTTTTCGATTCGATTTAAACAAAAGTTATTTAGTAGAATTGGCCCCCTGAAGTCCTGGGTTCGATTCCCGGTCGGGTTAATGTAGAAAATATACTTTTTTTGTATTGTCTCGAGCCTGGGTGTTGCGGTACCTTCGTTGTCTCAGATAATCTATGACACGGGGACTTTAGATCCTTATCTTGGAATGAGCAATGTATATGTTGCAATTATCAAATATTCATTAAAAAAAAGTCAAAGTCAGAATAACTTTATGAATAAACTTATTTAAAGTACTTTTGAATCGTCCAATTTTCCCTAGTACTCCAATTTTCCCTTTCCCTAGTATTCAGGATATTTTTTAGTCTGCCATATAGGACTCGTTAGTTAAACTTTGGTATATAAGTAAAAACTGGTAAGTTAGAATTAATATTTCCAGTTCCCGCGTTCGCTTGAGGACAGCTGCTTAATTTATATCTATTGTTTGTTAATAGCCTATGAAACTGACTACGGAGTTAGTTGTTCACATTCATCTTTAGTTTTTATACGGAGGTTGCGTGTTTGGAATAAAAGTAACTTTTGTATAGAATTGAACATGTTAGTTTCTCAGCTCATGTTCGTGTTAAGTTATAAGTTCAAGTGGCTGCTAATTCGTCTTCGCCGGAATGTACATATTGTTTCGCTTCTTTACAATATCCTGTTTAATCCATCTACTCCTACTTATCTTAGGGAACGTTTTAATTTCCTTCATAATACACACAGTCATGTTTTAAGGTCATCGGAGAACTTGAAATCGGAGATACCAATGCATTCCACTAAATTCTTTGATAAATCTTTTACTATTTAAGCGTAACAAGCTGTCCGCCTCTGGAATGCGTTATCGGAAGATGTGAGACGTGCACAATCTATAGACAGTTTCAAAAGTAGACTTAAGGAGCATTATTTGTCACAATGAACACCGTTTGCTTTCTTCATCTTTGTATATATCTATTTAGTTTTGATATCATCATTATAACAATGTGTTTATGTGATCCAATCGATGTATTATTATTTATATTTTATGTAATTTCTAAGTATCTATTTGTAAGTATCATATAAAGAGGTAATAAAGATTCTTTTAGACCCCATAAGCTGCCCAATTATAACTTATTTTGTCCTTTCTGTAACGGTTGCCTGGAAGAGATCGCGTCTAAGCGATTAGACGCCCAGTTGTACAAACGTTTATTAAGCTCTGTGGCATAGTGGATAAGCGCCTCGGTCACGGAATGGGTGATCAATATTATATTATATCTCGAGCTTCAGAAGGCACGATAAGCCGTTGGTCCCCGTTAAGCAGGCGTTAATGCCTTCGAATGTGCATTTGACCATATCAACTACGCCAAGCCCTATACTCCTTAACCATCCATAAGGAAGGCCTGGGCCTATGCAGTGAGGACGTCAAAAGACTGATGATGCTGAATGTTCTGAATTTGAAAATTTATATCAGTATAGCTTAAAACTTATGATAATTGTTCATGGATGTTTATGGAACTAGTTGGTCGAGAGATAGCCATCATTATTAATGTACTGGTACTCAGGTCCTCACTGTGGA